ACTGAATTGGATGGTTTAATGCACATGATTCCACTAACCGTCCAGACAAAATATTTTGTGTCAAATAAAAGCGGAATTAGACTTAATATCTCAAAATCGACGAAATAACATTTACTGTAATTTTATGTTTCTTGGGACATTTTTACTATATTCATCTATAAAGGTAGTAATCATCTCGTTACATTGTTGTGAGAGAAAAATGTAGAAGATTTGCGTATCATGTGGACGATTTCGATGGAGATGTGTGTGTGCTTTTTTCTGGATGGTTTATTTGCCAAACTTCATATCATCACTCACAACTTGAAAATAACGATCTCGTTGCAACTGTGATTTTCTGAGTATATCGAAATATAAACTGAATATTTAGCACTGAAGTTTTATTCCCGATTCATTGGTAAATTGTTCTGTTTTGTGGTGGTTGAGATCAGAAAATTACGAGTGATCACAGTGAATTTGGCTTTATACGAGAAATGTGTTTGATTATAGCTATTAATAAAAAAGTTAATCAGGCAATTCTGCTTGTCAATGGCGTGACTGTACTTCTGGATAGGTATTATCTAAATCCGTTATAAAGTCAAACATCAGTGTGTGATTCAGGGAGCCACATAAGAAATACATTTCCCTATAAGGTTGGCATTGTTTGACATAAGTGGACGGCGTTAGAATTGACATCGTGCAATTGGCAATACACATGCATACACGTGAAGGAAAAGAGTGCATTAAAATGGAAAATTATAATTTCCAGTGCGTTCGATCGATTGTCTATGCTGCATCATCTTTATAATATGGATATCTTATTATATTTCTGCAATGTTCCGCTCATACCATTGTAGAAACAGGTATGCCATGAAGGTAATAGTTCCAAACTTGACGATTTTGATGAGACATATTTCCAGTTGATTATTGTTACCTCAGTGATTACTGGTACGTTATGTGATGTACGGAAGAGGCTTCGCTTCAGTTTCAAGCAGTTCAAATATACCTAGTGTTAGAGAAAGTATTTACTTGGTCATTCAGTCACCTTCTTACGTGTGAATGCTCACTGCGATTCGCTTCATTCTGCAAGAGGCCTGGGAGAGGTATTTGGTGGATTCTTGGAAATCCAATCGATGCACACTGAGTCTTCCGATCCATCTGTTATCTTCAGTTATTATCAAAAATAAATTCACCGAAATGCCTACCACTTATGCAGATAAATATGTCACCCGAGGTCTCGTAAAATATTCCTCTCACCAGAATTCAAGTACACAAACACTGCGATATCATGAAGTTAAGCTTTGATTTGTGTGACTACATCTGTTTTTATAATTGATGCGGCGAGTGAATGTTTTTGCTCTGAACCTGCTTCCTTTAACGTAGTCCAAGTGGTTTCAGTGGCTTGTTGAAATCAACAGATAATGTCAGCGAATATACGAATATATCTTTAAGGGTATTTGAATCTCTTCAAGACATGCGGAAAGGCTCTGAAGGAAGAACAGACGTATCGCATAATCGTCGAAATGCATCATATGACGGTTCTTGTAAATTCCGAATCCGAAATTACGCATCTTGAACAATATCCCTAGAATTACTACCACTCGACCTGAATCATCACTAACCACACCACTCCATTCATAACAAAAACAATAAAAGCAACGCAATCAAATACACACACTGATTTTATTACAATCAAGACTATTTCTGGATTCAAAATGGTCGTCTACACAACACGTGATAGGTAACGTGTGCTTGTATTCACTAGAAGCTGGCCACCTCCTCGTCAGTCGGAAACAGGAATTTAGGAACGAATTTGCATCCCAACTTGAGCACCGGTGCCAGTACAGCTCTGATTGTCACTGGGAGCATAGCCAGCATACCGTCAGCACCTACACGACGAGAGAACACGTGGAGATTACGACAGAATCAGAAGAGAGTTGTACACAGTTTCGAATGTCACTGTGCATCACAGTGCATCGGCCAACAACCAGTGAACACACTTACCTGGTGTGCAGATGAGAGCGATGAGAATTGTGGTGAAGATGAGGAGGGTGAGATTCTGTCAGTGAAGGGAGGAATCAAGGCAGGAAAGAATGTAAATATGAAGTCAGAAACGGCAGTCTTACCTTCATTGTTCTTGTCGATGTTTGATTGTTTGTTTGTGTGAGTGAGTGAGTTAGTGAGTGAGGTGGAAATCCTAATGCTTATATAGTATTCACTTGTCCAACAATGAATGCATAGATTGATTGAAGTGTCGTTGACTAACCTGACTTGTCAATCATATGAATGAATGACCATTTTGTGATTTCCTCACTTGATCTTTTTTCGTGAAACTGATGGACTGGTGATTTGAGGTTTAGGTGTCTCGGTGATGAGATTACCGAGAATTCTTTGATTAAAATATTTGTGTGTTGTTATATGATATGGTGTGTTTCTAATTACCCTGTTTATGTTTGTTTATGGAAACTACATCATGCTTTATGATGATTCACCTTAGTGAATTAGAAAGTTTTCTCGTGCGATAAGTGGGCATTTTGAGCATAATTTCCATTGGGTCATCAGGAAATCAGGAGTGATTCAGCGTATTGACTGTTTGCACGGAATTTATTTATATGCTGTACAATCGTTAATACATGTATAAAGTATTTAAGAGATTTTATCCAGTGAGTGAATTGAATCATAAATATGAGCACATAAAGCAATAATAATTTGAAATGGAAATAAAATGATTGCGATTATAATCGAGTCAAATATGAAAAGACAAAATAAATAATGTCATATACACAATAATTCTTAGGACGTATAAACGTTGAAACGGAACGTGAAATTCTTGGATCAATAGGCAAATAAAATTTTGCGTAACACGAAGTGAGATTTGATGACACAATAGTACCACAAATTCATTTCAATTGCATTCTATACCATTATTTCATGAAACCATACCTTTGTTTCAATAAGTGCATAAGCTATGGAATCTGCGTTTATTCTCGAAATCTTTCCAAGTGGAGAGCCCGACTAGCCATACTTACAATAATATAAATTAAGTGGAAGAGAGGGCACACAGATGCTGCATCATGGCAAGAATTGTGACGTTTCCGTGTTACCTTCTTAATGGTGTTGGAAGTGATGATAGCGAAGTTGTGTCCACCAAGCAATACTCTGTGAATGTCGGTGGGATGTGCGTGAACGTTTTTATGGTGACAGCAGAACTATCAGTGTCAATTGTCGCTGCGAGGTATGTAGGTGGAGAGGCTGGTTACTGCGTATATTTTAGCAGGAGAGGTGTGTTAATCGTTGGATGGATGGATAATGCTGATTGTGTGTTTGTGTGCACTGGTGTATTTGTGTGTGGATGTTTGTGTGTATTTGTGTATATTTCGGTTGACAAATAATGAGTGTTGTGTATTGATGAAATAGAAGTCGGTTTGTTTTCAGTCAGTGTCGTCAATTATTGAGTGGTGGCGTTATTGTTGAGATTTTGACTTGATTCAATGTTGTGGCTAGCAAAGAAGGAGTATCGCGCATTGCAGGATATTGATAATCAGGATATTAGAGAGAGTTTGTGTCCCTGAGTGTATGTGCATGAGTATTGGTTACACTGACAATCAAAGTGTTGACTGTGGTTTATCACTCAGTCCAGGCCACTTTCTCATGACCGAATGGGAGTGATGATGGTTTCACTCACCGTCATCAATCCGACTGGATGATGAATCAACAAGACTGACACGCATGCACTTCCTGGCTGTACGAAAGGACAGTCAGACCTGCAGCCACACGCATATTATAACTGATAAACATACCTAACAATATGTTAGAACCAGTCGGAAGGCACGCTTCCTGCCACACTCTGCAATTCATCTGAATTCGTCAACTCCATCGGAAATGTCAGTGTCACTAATCAAAACATTTTTTCCTTCATGTTCCTGAGTGAAACATAGGGCTTAAAGCTAGGGCTTGAAGTTTTCGTATCAGTGTTTATTTTTACAGGTTGGAGTTGCTGGCCTCATGCCCAACATTTCTTCTTTAACATCATTATTTCTGGCATATTGAGGTAAAGGAGTCCGTCGGCCGGGGATCGAAATTCGAATTACGCATATGGTCGGCGAGCGTACTAACCGGTAGGCTACCCACACATACTCTCACCTAATGAGCTATGACTGTTTACAAATGTCACACTGACTAAAACAATATGCAACACATGCGAAAATATTGATTCAGACGGCATCTTCATTGGTTTACTCACTGAAAACTTGAAGGAACTCCAGTTTCAAATACATTTTAATTATCCAAAGGAATTCTAAAAATGATGAAATATATTGGCGAATGAATGGTATATTAACGGGCTCGTTATTAGGCCCAGTGATTGCTGATTGCTTCATTTCAAAACACCAGAACACATAATTGAAGAAAATGGTTGACGGATTTGGGTTTTACAAAAATTACGTGGATGTCACTTCCAATATCCTGTTTAACGAGGGAATTCGGAGCCTAACCTGGATCCTTTCGACAGCTTCCACCCTGAAAACCAGTTCACATTGGAGAAGGGGTTGGGTTCAAAATGTTTTCTCGACATTCGACTATCGAGACGTGACCAACATGGAACACTAAAGAGATCCACCTACAGAAAGCCGACGTGAAACGAACAACCCATTAACTCTCAAAGTTGAGTGGCTCCATATGCGACATGTAACCTCGCCACTATATCGAACCACAAAATCCATAGCTTCTTGAATCTTAACAATAATGAAGACAGAATATTTCGCCACAAAATCAATGGAGCACAAAACACGGAAACACCAGAAAATTCTCCTCTCAAAATACACCTCACAAATAGTTCAAACACGCCGACTGATATCAGGACCAATCTGCTATCCTACCATATTCAGTCATATAATCGATCACTTCTCAAATGAAATCTAAATGTCACTCATACATCAAGAATTCACCTGACAAGAGACAATGGATTACAGGCAAAACAAGAATCAATTTACCCGATTGGGTGTATATATTTCCAGCTAGAATTCCCGTCAGCACAATATTCCCAATCACCTCTACCCCAATCAACACAAAATGAAGGTGAGTGTAAAATTCTAGTCAAGTAATTGTCTCTCTCTCCCTCTCTGTCCCTATCGGGAAATTCTATCAGTGCATCTTCCTCCTCATCTGCCTAACCGTCCTCGTCAGTCAAACGCAAGGCCTGAGTAAGTTCACGAGATTTGTTAACAGCTGAATTCATACCGATATCAATGTGCCCATTTCGCGATAATGATGATCTGTTTCTCTTCATTTTTCGCCAACCCCCTCCTCTCTGTCAATCAAAATAATGCCAAATCACAATACAAAATACTCAACACAATGCATCACATCCAATGCCACTAATGCACAAATGCACACTTGATTCAACTCAGTTCTCGATAAGATGTTCAACATTCTCCCTCCGACATTGAAGAAGCTGGTCAAGAAGGTGGTCCATTGGGCTTGTCCGAATGAGAGGGCACCGAGTGTAGGTGGCGGTGCATCAGATGTGACGACTACGAAGAAGGTGACGAAGACGGTGAAGGAATCTCGCAAATAATCGATCCTCATCGGGGTCATCATCCACTGTTGGCATATATTGCTCATCATAATGAAGCTGAATTGTGCGAACTGCCAAATGTTCAATATTTCAGATATTTTCACATAAATTTAGTTCGTTGCATGAATTGATTTATTTTCTTGTCGGATGGTATACCATCCTAGATGGAATTTGATGTTGGCCAACAATGTTGTTGACGATGTTGCGCAAGCCCTCTATATAAGTGCATGAATGAGTCCGAACGAATACAGTAGGAGATAATTGAAAGATCTCAGTCGAGACGTGAAAATCTTTCTCAAGGGGGCTGTAGAAATCGAAAATGAGGAAATTGGAATGGATACAGGCGACGCTCGTAGAATACATTTGCATACTGCATTGAAAATACCCAGTACAGATACCTCACTTCCAGAATACTAGAATTTCGATAGCCAGAAAATGAATCTCAATGTATTTGAAACCATCACTGCATTTCGCTTTCTGCCTATTTTACATCATAAATTAGTAGCATCTGTGTCACAGCAACATTCTTTCTGGTTTGGCAGTGGGAACATCTATCAGTTATACACGAAGTTAAATATCACCAGTGTGACCATAATAATAAATGGGCTTAATCTAAACAGTTTATTTGTTACAGAGTGAAATTATCAGCAGGATTGTCACAGAGTTGTTAAAAGAGCGTCGACGCTCTTGTCAATTTCGGCCCTCGTTATGTAGTGGTATTCCACACGAATGGGAACAATTATGTATTAAGAATGATACTGAATTATATCTGTGGTGAGAGCATTCTGCTAGCCAAAATTGGGAGACAGCAATTTACGTCAATGTTTACCTCCCAAATCCTGGTCATGAGAAAAACAAGAACAAAGACTTAGCGTGGGCGGATACGATTCGCAGATATATGGTCTGACCTTCAAAGGGAAGGCCACAAAGAGATGATAGATTAACTTTCAGTGGGAGAAATACCAATTAGAAGACGCTGTTTCTCTCCTAATCATAGCCTGTAATAATATACATAAAATTATATAAGTACCTGTTGATTTTCTCAACAAACGATCTGTTGCCTGGCTCTTTTCTTCTGTCGTTACATATCTGTGTATTGAATGTTTGACTTTTGAACTGCTCTATGATCCAGTGGAATGCACCACATTATTCTGATAGTCTGGCAGAGAGAATAGATTTATAATTTATTGGCTTTGTGGGCTACATGGAAAGTGGCAACTCGAACTGCTGCACATCTGTGCAAATTTCTATGGTGAAACCAACCAGTCGATTTATTCGTTACGAGTCTTATATTTGCAGTCATAGCTAATCTGACGAAACATAACATTTGTAACACATCTTCATACACGAAATACTCTGATATGGGTTTCATCCATGAGGCAGTGAGTTTCTTTAGACTACGTTTTAGCTTTGCATAAGTACAGAGATTTTTAACTGGCTTATGAGGTGGCACACGTTATGAATTCAAGTGTTGTTGTTATCGTGCTCATGAAAATCTTCGCCTTTTCGATGTTAATCACACAAATAAATTTCACGAAGAATTCTGTAAGGAAAGTACAGTTAACGGTGCAACAGACTATGGTGAAAGGGTCCTCATGGATAATGGTGCAGAGGATCACTTGGAGATTGTACTTCATAGTTCAAGTTGAAGTGGATGTACACAATAACTTGAATATGAGATAAGCGACACTGGGGCTGTGTCTCGAATAAAGTACGAATGCATACGTCATTCTTTGGGCCATTGTGATATCTGTTTCTAGGATAGTCACGTTTCACACAACATCGGCAGATGGTTTACACATTCATCTCTTTTAGAAACGTAATTCGGTTGTTGAAGACATTTCCCACTCAACAGAAGCTTTGTCTTGCATGCTGCGGTTTTTGTGAACAGCCCACATACAGGACAACTTTGGGAAACCTCGTCCTCTGATTTCACATTTTCATATTTCTCTATGTCATGTATTCACAAATTTACTCATTCTAATCATGCGACCATCATGCTTACTACCTAAGAGCTACAATTTATATGACACCCATATTTTTGTTGTTGGATAAATGAGAGGCCAATGTGTCCCGAATGCTGGTAAAATCCCGGGATGTGACCCCAGGATTCACAAAACTACCAATTATCGAAGTAAAGGGGTTTTATATGACTACAAGACACTAAAACTTAGGTGAATATCAAGACTCCTGAGACCACTTTTAGGCATTTGACTGAGCTATTTCGGCTCATCAAAAGATGAATTCATACGGCATACTCACCACCTGTAAGTCTTCCAATCTTATTCATACGGTATCAGTGATTTTTCCAATTTCCTCATTTGTGCATATTTCAGTGTGTTGACTGGCCTTGTTGGAATAACCTGGTTTCTGCTTGACCACATTTGTATTACTTTAATTTTATTTTGCGATTACTATAATTTTGTCATTCTTCACGCATACTGGAGCTGCCATCTCTTTTGTGATAATTTGTATCTTGCTTTCCTATGGTGTCTTAGTGTCAATGTACGTTATGTGCTGACCTTCTCAACAACGGTTTTGTTTATTCGACTTAGTGCTACAACTTTACCGGGAACGGTATCCTCAGATTTGAATCTGTTGACAGCTACAATGAGTTGAATCCTTTTTCAAGTACTTTTATTTCATCAGAACTTAAGGCTGTTGTCGACATGTTAATTACCCAATTCGTTTTATCGATGGATGACTGTATTTCATTGGCGAATACTTCAGCAGGAAATACTTCTCCCATCAATTCCTTCGACTTTTTAATTTGAGTAGTTTTAGATTTGTTGAGTACAGCTGAACTTAACTTAAAAATTCATAACACTTGTTATTTACTACCTTTATGAGTTTGAACTTCAGTTGCTCAGTCTTATGTCCGATGGAATGTCTGATGGATGGCATACTGAATATTCTGTGAATTTCTCTCCTAAAAACAGAGTCTACTGAGATGTTCCCTCCTGCTTTCACCTTTCCTGTTATAACTGGAACGTGTACACGAATATATTGAAGATTATTTCCATTTTTCGCATTCTACCACAGCACCCATGTTCTACACTTACATTCCTGAGAATACCTTCGATGATGTAGTCAACAGATATAAACAGATAAAATATGTGCAAATATTGTCGGAATTCATGAATAATAAACAAAGATTTGTGGAGTCTATATCGAATCATCGATTTGTTCGATAGTGGAGTACTCAAAATATCTTTGTGCTATCATTAAAGTACTCTAAAGACTGTCAAAAATTCCGATATGCATTATTGCTACTGAATTTATTCTTCATTTATGACAGGGAGCTGGGAAAAATGCAAGTTCTACACGATTCATCATCTTGCTTTCATTTGTAGGTATTGATGATGAAACAGCTAATAACTTTCCATATCAAAATAATGCAAATTTCATAGTGAAAACTCCACAAAATTTTGGCATAGTTGTGTTTTTTCACATTTCATTGCGCTACTAAGCAAAATCTTCAGTGCATACTTCAATTTATTGGAGTGAGCTTTTAGATTTCGCCACGAACTTATTAGTTATCTCTTCTGGCGACCTTGAACTTGGTCGGTTGTTTCTGTGTGTCTCCACACCTTCTAGACTCCTTGCATTGGCACGGATTATTTTGTTGACTTGAAGTTTCACCCTTTGTCGTGAGATTTCCTTCTTATCGATTGGTAAATTTTGTCTATGTAAATGTGTCTGTTAATTGATGATTCACTGGAATACCAGGCTTCTAGAAATTCTCTAGCATTCTTCATGTTTCTTTTGAATAATATTTGAACGTCGTCCAAGTCGAACTGATGTCCGTGGTTGTCTGTATGAAGCGATATGAGGGAATGGATGCCATGTCTACTGAAGGCTAGTTTATGTTGATGGATACGAAGACGACCAATTGCATCAATTCCAGGAACTTCAACATAAAATTTGTCCCAGGAACTATACAGAAAATTGGAACACTTAACGGATTTCTGTTATCACTGCAGCAAATCTACCATTCAATTTCTATAAAAAATCAGTGGCATTCAAACAGATGGTCAACAAATAATGGTCTCATTATAAATTATTTAAATTAATCCCACCGTGTTAAGAAAATCAAAACAAGATTTTTCTGAACGTTTCGCCGTGTAAGCCATAGCTTCTTCAGCGGATCTATTCGGATTATAATTAATCATCAAAATATATAGTCAAAATTTTTTACATAAAATGAAGTCAGTTTATTTGAAGGTCATTTGTCCATGGACATTTTTTACCAATAGAAGTATGTAAGCTGTCCTCACATATATTTGTAATGACTAATGTCAAATTGTTGTTGTGTTCACTCTTCTATAGTTGATTTGTAAAGATTAGATTTGTATGCGTGTGTGTGTATGTATGTTATTTGTCATATGGAAAATACGTGAATTCATGTGATAAACGTGTCACTACATGTTTTATAGGTCATGGAGGCTCATAGAGTGTTTGTTGTTTTTTCATTTGTCTTGCTTCATAAGAGTTTTACGGGTTGATCACGGATTGATATCAGTTAGAGAACCATTGAAAACCAGGGAGTACTGGACAGCTGCTGTTTCATCCTAGTTTGGGAATCATCGGCAGTACGCACCCACTGGGATTCGAACCCGGGACCTTCCGGTTACAAGGCAAGCTCGTATACCATTCAGCCACTGGGACACGATTCAATGGCTCGTGAATTCTAACTTCTACTAATTCGTGATTTAGCGCGACCCCAACCATTGTCGTTGGTGGGACATCCATCCACACACGTGACATCTAACTGGACCTCACTGGTCACGACTTCTCACTAGAACTCAGGAAACTCCTTGTAACCAAAAGGTCCCGGGTTCGAATTCCTGTGGGTGCGTACTGCCGATGATTCCCAAACTAGGATGAAACAGCAGCTGTCCAGTACTCCCTGGTTTTCAATGGTTCTCTAACTGATATCAATCCGTGATCAACCCGTAAAACATAACTAATCCTTACAAACCAAACTATAGAAAGTCATAAGAGTTTGCCATATAGGTAATAAGTCTATACCTTCTTTCCTATTCACTGCATTTGATGTGGTTAAAATGTGCAAGGCTTCTGAAGTCAATCTTTCTTTTATGTG